TACCCAAAGGAAACAGAATTTTGAACTTTGAGATTTTGACAACTACTCAGAAATCTCAAGACTACCTGCTCAAAACAGACTATCCTATGGTTTTGAAAGGTAGCAGGAGATCCCTGCCAGCCTTGATTACCCTGAACAACAGGGAATTGACTGAGTAGGTCGTCTTTTTTTGGGACAAAATGCTCCAATCTATTCGTGGGGAGCAACACGTGCTGGGAATCAGGCCCAGCGTCCCATATACAAGTATACAAATGATTCGAAAATGATTCAGCGTGCAGAGAAACAACTTTGCCCTACCTTCTGATCATAAACAACTCCCTCTTGTCCATGAACTGCCCCCGTCAAGGGGCAACCCGTTCCCCTTATTGACCCCAGCTCAGGACAAGCCCCTAACGAACCACCACTCCCTCAAGGACGAGCTGTTCCCACCAAAAGCCCATCCCCGCAGAATAGTGGTTCCCCCAACCTCCAGTCCCGTAAGGGCCACAACTCCCCTGCACACTGGAGCCAGCGTTAAGAAGTAAAGTCTGTAAGGAATCGAGATGCCAGGAGACGGCAGAGGAAAATCCCTTTAAAACTACCCTTCCCTCTTGTCCATGAACTGCCCCCGTCAAGGGGCGACCCATTCCCCTTATTGACCCCAGCTCAGGACAAGCCCCTAACGAGCCGCCACTCCCTCAAGGACGAGCTGTTCCCACCAGAAGCCCACCCCCGCAGAATAGTGGTTCCCCCAATCTCCATCCCAACCCTCTCCATATGGGACGGACGAACCTGAATAACCTCCTCTCAATACCAACGAAAAATTAAAATCCTCTACCCCCCTGCATGCTAAATTGAAACCAAAGTTGGGGAATGATTCTATCCAAATTATTCCGCCGAAACTGAAAATTCAAAGCCTATCAGGCCACCACTAACAACATCGGAAAGGGGTAGAGGACAACACTTTGAAATTACCAAGAAGACAGTGCCTCTCCATTGTGAGGAGGGTTCGCGTCACCCTCGTTCTTACCAAAATCCCTCATCCTCCTATCCTTAAGCTGGCCCCGTCGAGAGGAGCCCCCTTCTCCTCAATGACCCCAACTCAGGATAAGCACCCTAACAGACCACCTCTCCCTAAAAGACAGACAGTTCCCACCAAAAGCCTGTCCCTGCAGAATGGCAGTCCCGAAAAAAACTCAATGCAATAACCCCTTCACCCCCAAAATGAAGAGGGGAAAGAGAGGGCAGCACCTCTCCATTGTGCAGATCCCAAATTTGCCCTAACTTCAATTCCGAAAAGACCTTCCCCCTTGTCCATCAGCTGCCTCCGTCAAGGGGCGACCCATTCCCCTTATTGACCCCAGCTCAGGGCAAGCCCCCTAGCGAACCACCACTCCCTCAAGAACGAGCAGTTCCCTCCAAAAGCTAGTCCTCGCAGAATAGTAGTTCCCCCAACCTCCATCCCAACCCTCTCCATTTAGGCCATAGGACACACCTAAAAGCCTGCCTTCTATTACCCGGCGAAAGTCTTCTACCCCCCTACGTGCTCTTTTTAACAAAATTAGGATTAGAAAAAACGAATTTATATCAGAAATCCAAAAAAAATCAAAACCATACAATCAATGATTTAAGAAAAAACGAATTTGTATCAAAATTCCAGAAAAATTCAAGACCATACAATCCATGAGAAGACAAGCTGTTGAGTGGCAAATTCACACGGGGTTCTACGAATTTTTAGTTTAGGTATCCCTGAAGGATTTTCGAATCAGAATCCCAAACCACCGTTTGAGAAACGTTCAGCAAAGATATATGGCGCAAAAGGGTATGAAAAAGCATCCACAGAAATCACAAAATCAGATCGTCATCACTGGAAGGACTATCCAGAATTGCAACATAGAAGGACAAGCACGTGATATGCCAACAACAAACGAATCATGAATTCAGAATAGAAAAACAATATACAAATTACACCAGATCAGAACTTTTACAAATCAAGATCAAAAGCTGCTGTAATTGGAATCCAATTTTCCAGAAAAAATCAGGGAATCGATCATGAATTTCAACCGCAGAGTTAAAAGTTCCAGAAAACTATTACGGAGGTAGAAAAATCACGATTGAACAAAGACAAACTAAAAATCTTTCACGCAAGGAGTCATTCGCAAGATTAGTATCAGAAATTTCATGCCCAGCGTACCACCGAGACACCGAACCCTACATGGGCAAGACTGACAATAAGAGCCATCAATCAACAATATAATCACCGCCCCCTCTTCCTCAGCAGCATCTACCTACCCCATCCCCCTCAAACCCAACCCCAACTTCTTCGGGGAACAAGGAACATCCTTCGTCCCACTGTTAGCCTCTAAGCTTCTACGCAATGCTAACACCGAAGAATTTAACGGCCATCTTCAATCCCCCAGAAGGAGTCAAAGATGGTGTGGCGCCTCCTCACCAAACCCGTTGGTGAGCCGCCACAGGGAGTTCGAGCCCCCATATGAGACCACTTACCGTGTTGTTGAGGAAGAAGGGGCCCATAACCCTAACTCTTCTGACCAGCAGCATCGTGATATACCCTTCCTTTCAACTTGACGCAACCTTCCTCTCCGTAGTAGTCGAAAGGGAAGCACCCACCCACGAGGTCCGTCTGCTAAACGCCATACTCAGCCACTCCTACAACCGCTATAAGGGTCGGCACTCCCCCACCAACCCACCACCATAGCCAACCACCGCCCGGCTAAATGCAAAAAAACACCGACCAGATCTTCCTAGCACGACGTGCGGCGGTGCTGCCACCACATCTACCCACGACACCATAACCGACAATCCTCCGATGAAGTGCACCAGCGGCTTCCCACCAAAACTCCCATCGCACCGCGCGGCACTCTCGGTAGCGTGGCAGGGCGGCGCGGCGCTCCCGGCAGCGCCCGCCACCCGGATTTCACGTCAAATAAAAAATGTACGAAACGACCAAATCTAATAGGTTATTCTCCTGTATTTCGGTACCCTTAGATTCTCAATACATCAACGGCAGAGCTCCGTCTCACCATGCCACACGTGATAGAAAGGTCAGCGTTGAGAAAACTCAACTTCGGCGGTGGGACTTCACCCCAGTGCTTTGAGGAATGTATCTGGCCAGTATGTGAGGACCGTGAGACATGTCGTTATCTTTGTTTTCTTTTTGTTTTGAGGTCCTTCTAGCGCCCTGCCAGCCAGGCAGGGCGGATTCCACGCGAGGCAGCTAACTGCCTC